GAGCCAATAGGAGAGGTTGGACAGTATTTGAAAACTTTAAAAGCTTGTAACTCGGTTCATACACATGTTTGAGGTTTTAAAAGTGGTTCCATTGGTTTCCTCATAAAATTCCCTTTCAGAACCGCCCCTTAAAATTTAAATTGTGACAAATTAAACATAAAAATTTGCAGTTTAACTTACAAATTTCATGTTCGATCTCTCTGATTGACTCGATCCACTGTGCGACGATAATGCGACGGATTACCCCGCTAAGAGCTCCGATACATCGACGCCAACGTATTGGTCCTCACAATGCCCACCAGTGGGTCACTAGGACCCCCTCCCCCCTCCTTAATTCTGTCTTTTATTCGGTGTGCATAAATCTCTTTACTTATGATCCGATAGATTGCGGAATTCTGTGCGGCTGATCAGTGTGACTGATGCTGATTGTGAGAGGCGGTAAACTGCCGCGCTAGGGAATAACGCCGTATGAGCCTTTAGATGTTGCCGTATTTCTTTTGATAAAAACACATTTCTGGTAAAATTGAGAATATTTTTCTCTTAACTTTTCAGAAATTTTTTTTCTCAAATTAATCTAAAATATCTGAAAATTTCAGCGGGAAATATGCATATCTTTCCTATAAAACCTCATGTTTAGTCCGGAGAAATTTGGCAACTCTCGAATGTTCATACGATGTTCTTTCTTAGCACGGAAGTACAGGATGATGCTTCGGGGCTGTTCTTGATTTACTTCAGGCACTTTTTCTGATTTCTTGGCGGTAACCCCCCCCCCCCTCACTCCCTCTTCGTTTTATCATGCATCCTCAGAATCTCCTCTCGCGCCAAACTCCATGCTAGGCTCAACATTCTTCTTTTCCACTCTATTTTGCGGGAAAATTCGGAAATATTCTTTTTCGCATGTCTGGGGGTTGCGCACCTTCTAAAAAGTAGTCGTTTTAGCTCTACTTTTTTATTCTTTTTTTCAGACTTTCTACTGGGAGCCTATATTCCAACGACTTAAAGCTGTCATAAAATTTCCCTAAAGAGAACATGCAAGGATGACTCACGTTTTTGACGTATTTTAAGCGCTTAATCTCATCCAAAAGATGGTCCCCTTTGAGATAGGAACATTCCCAAAGTTTCATAATCCTAGCTCAATTCGTTCAAAAGTTAGCAGGGGTGGGACGGACTTTTGGTACACCCTGTATAAAATTCGTATATTTCACTGATTCATTTATTCTCTATGTCTAAAGCAGAGGCGGATCCAACAATTTGGCAACACCGGATTCCCGCCATTTAAACCAATGTTAAACAATCGATTCTTGTCGGTGCACCTGGCGACCTGGCCCCTCCAAGAATCGATACATTTCCATAGGTTTAAATGGAGAAAAGCGATGTTGCCAAGGAGGAGAGTTCCAAGGAGAAGGAGAGTTCAACGAACGATGATGAAGAGGGCAGTTGAACGTAGAGTACCTTTATAGACAGAGTATGGCCATTTCTGTTCCGGTTTTTCATTGGTCGCGAGCAAATAGGCTGACACGATGCTCTTAGGGCCGTAAATAAACAAACAAGATGGCCGTTATCAGCAAGCAAGATTGAGGTTATGCACATCTTACATCCTCCTGTGATAAAGGTGAAAGGCAATTTAACAATGTTTTCATGTGTTTTTCGTGTGCTATTCGTAGATAAGCTCGTTTAAATTGTTACTGCCGCTTAATTGAAATTTTTGTCAAATTTAGCTTCTCATCGATGTTACGGTGAGCCGCCATCTTGTTTGTTTATTTACGGCCCTAAGAGCATCATGAAGCCTAAAAACTCGTTGACCAATCAAAAAGCGGAACAGTTTTCCTGTAGTAAAAAGATACGAATGGCCATACTCTGTCTATAAAGGTACTCTAGTTGAACGCGACAGCGGGCATTTATTTCAAAAGACCTCTAATTCGTCTGTTAATGTATTCAAAGATCGGCGGTGATTTTTTGATATGCATAAAGCTTCTGGAAGTTGAAAGACGTAAAAATCACGGCTCATCCGCGGCTGTCCCAATTCTCCCCACCATCCACCATGCACCAGCACCGAGCATCAACCCGATGGCGTGTATCCATCCTCTATTCAGATTAGCTGCAAGCAGTGTTGCCAGTCTCGGGTAAAATGAATCGCCTCTAATTCGCCTCGGATGGAGAATCAGAAACTGACCATAAATAGCACGATTCAATCTTCTGCATCCTATATCCCTGCTAAGAAAAAAATTTATTTTGAACGTACGTACGTTGCCATATTTTCCCCCTGATAACATGGATCGCATTTAGCAAAAAGGAACCAGTGAGATTACAGTGTTTCACCGAAAAAAAAAGAGGTGCTAACATCCTAGATGTTTAAAAAATGTGCGACGAGTCTTGGATGTTGTCATTACCACTCTGGCTGTTAAAGTAACATCCTAGGATGTTACTTTTACATCCTATCATGCTACGTTAACTGCCAGAGTGTTAATAGCAACATCCAAGAGTTGTCGCACATTTTTTGTTTATTTTGGTTTATTATTTTACTTCATCAGATTTACCGAAATGTAAATAAAAATATCTGAAAAATTGAAAAAAACATACTTTCACAAGTTTTCCGAAAGACTTGCCTTTCATCATAGAAAAGTTGGCAACGTCTGAAGGCTCATTTGTGTATTCTTTTGCAGCGTGGCTGATCAGATCTTTTGAAAAAGAACGTACCTATGGCTTAATTTTTGGTTATGACTTGATTTTAGTTTTATAGAATAAAGTACCTTTTCAGAGGGAGTGTTGAAACTAACCGTGACTTTGGATGAGAGGAGGGGGGGGGGGGTTATAGTTGACTACTATTCGCCTTGCTGCACTTATTACCAACCTTGCCATAATGCATATATTTGTTGAAACTTTAAAAATAAAATAAATAAATTAAATGAAAAGTATGATGATGTCTATTAATTGATGAGACAAAAGGCAACACCGTTGGCATCTTGTGCACACAGCAATCGGATTGTCTGCAGCTTTGACGCTTTGATCTTTTCAACTGTCCAATTAAAAGTCCTTCTCGAGCTGTCCTCTTTATTCTAATTGCCTTAAATTCTTTCTCACAGGATTGCGGAAGAACGAGGATTTTCCCCCTGCCCCTTTCCCCACCCTATCTCATTTTCCTAATCTTGATCGCTCTTTCCCAGCCTGTGCATAATTGTATTGGTTCTTTTTGCACGATAAACAGACACTCACCGAAACAAACTTATTTATCTATTTCATTATAACCCTGCTGAAAACGGCTGAAGTTATGAGTGAAAAATGGTAAAATGTTGATGCAAACACGGTATTAACACAGCACCAACATGGTATCATAGAATAATGTTAAAACCAGGTTAGTACAATGTTTGTTGTTGGTATCATGTAGAAACCATGTCGGTGCCATATGTCGATAACACTTGGATGCCATGTCGATACCATGTCGATACCATGTCGATTACCATGTCAATTACCATGTTGATAGGTTGATACCATAATGGTACCATCTTAATATCAACAGTTCGAAACGAACCATTAACAACAAGATCTTAATATGGTACCAGCATAATCTTTTTTAGCTAGGGTAAGGTGTTCTAATTGTTTCATTGCCAATAGATCAATTCCACTGATCATAGAATCAGTGTTATGATTAAAGAACGTAGATAAGCGAAAATGTGTAAGATCTGTCCAAACGTCAAGTTTCTAAATCAAATTTTAATGGAGATATCACTCCTTATTATAGAATTCAGGATGAATAGCATATAGGTCCCTGTTAAAAATGTGCGATAGGAGCTGCGTTTCAAAATACCATAGGAGTTCTTATAGCCGACTAAAGAGGGCTATTGAAAAAATCATATAGCCGGGCTATACGAAGCTATAAAAAAGTGTACGGTCGGGCTATAGTTCCTATCGCCGGGCTTTACACTTTATCATCATTGGCTATAAAAGGCTATAGGAAATTGTGCAGAAATTCGTGTGCTTTGGAAATCATTAAGTTTGATACGGAACTACCTTAATATTTACGAAACACACATTACATTTTCCTTTAAAACATATTGTTTTTCATCAATTAAAATGAGAATAATCCATACAGAGTGCGCAAACATTTCAAAATCATGAGTTGAAAAACGCTGATTCCGCGAGATTAAATATTAGAGCCTAACACAAACGGAGCGGCGACGCACTGGCGCCTACAAACCTAACAGGGATACTTCACGCATTGCGCAAACACGCATTGACGCCTACAAACCTAACAGGGATACTTCACGCATTGCGCAAACACGCATTGACGCCTACAAACCTAAGAGGGATACTTCACGCATTGCGCAATGCGTGAAGTATCCCTGTTAGGTTTGTAGGCGCCAATGCGCGTTTCGCGCTCTCTGCCCACCCACTGCGCCGCAGCGTGCCACGGCGTCTGTAGCAACTATTTCACACCAGAGGTATTGCACAGTAACATAAGAAATTGAAGGCGCTCCAACAGATTAAGGATGACAGGTATCCTTCGAAAGTACGGAGCTTTTCTCGCAAAATAAATTAAGATACTACGGCACAAAAAGAGAGCGGTAGTCCAAAAACTAACTAAGTCCTAGTATCCGTATTTAGTAACCTTTAGCATAAACTTTATCGTCTGGTTGTTGCTTACTCGCCATCGGCTATGAAAGGCTATAGGAAATTGTATAGCCGGCTACAGAAGCAATTGGGGATCTTACAGCCGGCTTTAGGTCTATAGTATTTTGGAATACACTTTCTACTGCCAATTGTTACCAGGGATCAGTTACATTAAATCTTGAATGTAAAGACTCAGTATTTGAACCGGTTTCATCATTTTCTGCTGCTTAATCTATAAAATTCAATGATCAAAACAAAACTCCACCACTAACGTTACATACTCAACATCATGAGAGAGGGCCGCATCATGCAAAATAAAAGGAGTCAACTTTTTCTCACTTATTTTTGAAACAGCATATCAACCGCAAATAGGTGCTTTTATATATCCTTACCTTTGAGCCAACGTAGCAAGAAGTGGTCATCGTGGTCGGGTTTCGTGCAAATATCCTTGACATTCCTGCGGAACTGAAACCAACAAAATCGGAGGACAAATTAGAAGATGGAGACGATTAGCCGTGGGAAACTGCTTGCATTCAACATTGAGGAAATTGTTTAACAATGATAATTAGTTTCACCTACAACCATCTGTTATCTTTTCATGATGGCCACCTTCCTCGGAAAAGTGTACGAAGATGTCTTCAGAGAAGCAGCGATTATTGAAACAATGTATATAAAATCTCACATATTATTATGATATTGCTCAATTGACTTGCATCGAAAAAAAGTTTTAAATTTGTGGTAAAGGAATATTTTCTATTGAATGAAGAATAATGCTGCTTAGTTTCAGCTACTTTTTTTGCATCACCAAATCATTTTTCTCCTCTTCCTGGAGGAATTCAGCTTAAATTAAGTTGAGAAAAACTCATGGCGGAAAACTCAAGAATCATTATGCTGGTGAAATGGAAATAAAACCAAATGATCTTTATTATTTTATTATAGGTATCTTTAGCACAAGAGTCAAGCTTAATGATCTGGTAGGTTTCTCACAGAAAAAATAAATTTTTGTCAGCGATTCTGAAACACCGTACCAGAGAAGTACCTTCTTCACGCCCAAGCCCTCATCAATTAGTGAGTGACAAATCCGTCTTAATTTCTATACATTCTTTTGTTGTGTTGTTGTTACTGTTACGGCGACAAAACTATTCCAGTTAGCGTGAAACCACCCCCATATGCCAATAAGTGCATATTTCACGGCCGGAGTTTTTTTTTTTCAGTGCCCAAAAAACCTAGGTCCGTCATTATATCTGAACCAGCTCTTATTTAATCGTTGAGCTACTACTGCATTCGATGCAACGAAGCATTTTGCAATTATTCGCGGAAAATGTTGCGGCGAAACGGATCAGAAGCGCACAAGTCTTTTTCTGATAAATTAACAAATCGAGCGGCTGGTCACTCTCCGCGACCCCGATAAAACCGGTTGAAAGGGAGTCGGCATGCACGCATTTATTTCTCATTACGTTTATTTCTTTATTTCTGAGCAAGTAAACACTACAAGCTATAATTGCGGGAAAAATTGATACGCCTGCCTCCGGAATTGCACGGATCATAAAAATGCAGCAAAAATCTCTCGGCGACGTCCTCGGTTGGGAGTGCTTTTTCCCGGGCGAAGTTGCCAGATTGTGTGAAAAACCCTGGATATTTCTGCCGTGCTACGGAAAAAGCCGTACGAACCTTCAGGCGTTGCCACATTTCCTGTGATAAAACAAAAATCCCCTGGTAAACTTTTGAATATTTTTCTTCCAATTTTTCAGATAATTTTGTTCGTAGTTTCACCTTAAATTCCTGACAATTTCCAGAGAAATATTCATAACTTTCCTAAAAAAATAAGCATCTCGAATGTTCATACGGCGTTCTCCCTTGGCACGGCAGATTTTACGTATTATTAAAATTTCCCACTCTAATTTCAGCACAGTCTGGCAACAATGTATCCCGGCCCGTGTGGTTTTGAACGGTGTGAATGTCCGTGCGTGTATGTGGTTTAGCCTCGTAATTCACGCAGAGAAGGAAATAGAGATAGAGGAAAAATTACGGCAAAATTACCGATCGAGGAGATAATGTAAGACTCTATACGTGGTGTTAAACGGTGATACTCTATTCGAGATCCGTAGGCATTTTTTTCCTGTTGATAGGAAATATGTATGCGCTTTTTGTTGGTTTCTGGGTTACGGGCGATCTAGCCTTACGTAGGCTAATCGGCTTAATTCCTGGATTTGAGGATCGGAGGTGCTGCCCCTGCCGGCAATTTCCAGCTAGGAAGAGAAAATGTAAAAAAGAATGGGTCAGTTGCGTTGGTCACAGAATCGTGTTTTGATGCTTGATTCTTGTACATCAGCTAAAACTTTGCTCAAAAACATCCTCCTAGGCAGTGAAATAACTAATGGAAGAGCTAAATATAGAAAAGCAGGTTCTTTTCAAATCAGTTGAGAAAAATAAAAACAAAAGGACCGCTCAAGTGGCTGAGAAGAAAATAAAAGGATCGAGGCTAATTGGGACGCAGCTTATTGCTGCTGCTTTGGCAAGCGGTCAGACCCCTGGTCGAGTCTCGAGTGTCGTCGTCGACTCGAAGCGATTATCAATATATTATCCGCGAATTGGCCTGAACAAGGCACACCCAATTTCGGCAGTGGGTCAGGTGCATGGGCCAGAATTTTTATTGGTTTTATTTGAAATTGGACGTATACCTACACAAGCTACCTGAGGACGAATAAATTAATGAAACTTTCGTTAGACATCACGAGACTACAATCACTGTAACTAGGTACTGCCGCGTGCTAAGGGAGAACGACATATCGACGGTGAAACTACCAAACCACGTATCTCGGTTTGCGACGTCGCAGACTTCCTGTCATACTTTATTTTTTAAATGAAAAACTACTTAACATCCAGTCTTGAAAATTTCTGTGATTTTTCCTCTTTGTGCGGAGAAAATTCCGTGAAAATTTCAAGGAATTATATTGATTTGGTCTACTTCAAAAAAATTAAATGTGAGCGTAGATTTTTAAACACCGCAAACGAGATACGTGGTTTGGTAGTTTCACCGTCGATATGCGCCTTCAGATGTTGCCACATTTCCTCCGATAAAAAACTAATTTACTGGAAAAATTGTGAATATTTTTCTTCAAATTGTTCAGACGATTTTGTGCGCAATTTGATCCAAAATATCTGAAAAGTTCAAAGAGAAGTGAATCAGTGAGTTTGAAAACACACCAACTCGATTACTCGAAAATACTCCATTTTCAGTCAATTTTTAGGATGGGTGTGAATTAAGCGCATTTGTTCCAACTTGGACCTTTAACGTGTCCTCAAGTACTTATCTTTCGGCACCAAAAGTCTTTTTCTTGGACAAACTTCTTCACCTACTGTGCAGTTTCGTGTCTGTCTTCATTATTTTCATTTTTTCGAGTTGGTGTGTTTTCGTTCTCACTGATTCAAGTTTGCATAACTTTCCTCAAAAATTAGTATTTTACCGCGATAAATTCGGCAACGTCACGGCTCCACACGCTGTTTTACCTTAGTGCGGCAGTGTAGGTCTGATTATTGGTAGGTAATCGAAAGAAACTTGGCACTGACGCCCGCGTGTCGTTACTTCTTAGCACAGTTGTATTGAAAGGAATCCACCCACACTAATGGTGTTGCTGAATAAGATTTCGCACCCGGAATCGTAAAATTCAGTTCTGGCATTTTCTATCGATTGACATAACCTTGTCAATGGGGTACAATAAAGCTGCCGATTTTACTGTGTTTGCTCTTACTTCCAAAATTATATTGGCCCTCAACCTCCAGGTTTTGATACATAGGAGTGCTTGTTTACTCGAGAAGGAGTGACGAAGGTCTACGAATGGCAGGTATGACGTATAGCAACGGCCTGATATTCTTGTCCTAGGATCTGGTGATGATTTTTCTGAATGGGGCCCATCATACTTGAAAGATAATTAAGTAAATGCTGAAAAGCTAAATATTGGGATATTGGCACCAACCTAACCTATCTTATGCATACCTATTTTAGCGCAAAAACCCATAAAAATATTGTATTAAAACGGGGTTATGTCTGTCAAATAGGGAGATATCGATAATCGATCAATTACGCCTCGCCGTTGAAGCGTGTTGTTCCTCCGCAGCCGTTTCGTGAAAATTCGAATACCAACCGCCTGATATGACAACACCGCAGAGGGGGTCTGTGATGCGCACGGAGACCCACCGATGAATCAGAGGACCCGTAAAGCTGGATCGATTGCTGAATCGACCTTGATCGATAAATCCCCACCTTAGCAAAGCAATTTATCGATTAATCAATCCATAAAAATCCAACAATCGACCTGCAGGTCTCAGATTATTTCGGTAACCGGAGACCGAGGCTGGGGGGCCCCGCAAAAATACTCACAAAATGTCAACGCATAATAAGAATTTATATGCAGAACGGTGGATCCGACATGGCTTGTGTCGAAACCGAAGATGGTTGATCAACTCGGATCATAACTTTCCGATCAAATCAAACGGTTCGAAGGCATCGGGTGTAAGCATAAGGTATGAGGCACAAGGCATCAAGCAAAGACAAAGACGAAAACAAAGATGGTCGATGACGAACCGGTTGCAAAACCCGATGTCCCCTCGGGACCCGTTTGTTTGTGTTTCTTCATTGACCACAACCACATCGATCGGAAATCAGCCTTTTCATCGTGACGTTGTGGTTTTTGGGAAGGGTCGCGGTTCGCGAAATTCACTTAAATCAATTTTTACGGGGCTATTCTGTTATTGTACTTTGTCATAGATTTTAACGACAATTTTAAGTGGAACAGGTGATGCAAATTTGTAATTTGGTGTTTAAAACTCACAGATTAATCATGAAGTGGCCGCTTATTTTAATCTTCCCTGGCCGTCATGCTCTACGTGCCCATTACAGACTGCTTCAAAAATTTCAAGGCAGTGGGCTCATTGAGAGATTATTACTTTCCAATGGCAAAACAATTCTGGAAGTCCATGATAGATCCCTAGAAATACCTCGGGAGTTTGAGGGCTTTCATATCAAGAGGTGCCATTCCACAAAAGATAGATTTTAGATTTGGCAAGTCTCATTTTATATTGGAGGAAAACTTCTTGTGTCTGTAATAATAGTCTTAAACTCGAATCTCTTTCATACTACACCCCCACACGAAAATCTGAGTTTTTCTGAAAACTCTCACGGAAAAACTGTTTGATGCAAAAGTAAACTTGAAGAAATAAACGCTGTAAGTGATTTGGTTAATTTTTACGCTTAAAGAGAGCATTAAATTGCACTGTGCTCTGGCAACATTGCAGCTTAGATTTTAAATAGCTTTTGCTTCAATATAAATTTTTAAACTGCAAACTTTAAATTGCCATGACTATATAGTTAGGTGAGGAATAATTATTCATTATTATTAAGAAAAATTATCGAGGTAACATGAATTGAATATACACCGATACAATTTCTTTCTTAGATACTAACA